AAGAACAATCATATACAAAAACCCAAATAACATTAAAATTATAGTTAAAGGACTAGCAATTAATAATCCAAAAAATATTATAATAAAAGACTTAACATTATATAGTTAAATACTTAAAGTCTTTAAAGTTAAAACAGAAATAATAATAATTCTATCAAAAAAGTTTATTAAAGATTAGGTCAACAAAATAAGAATGATAAATCTTAACCTAGTATCAGTTAAATATATAGTAGATATAAGTAAGAAAGAAATATAAAAAGAAGAAAGAAAAATAGAAAAAATGGAAAAAAATTATAATAAAAAAAAAAATCTCAACAATAACATACTTACAAAGAAAAGATATTAAGCAATTAATAATAAAATAGAATTGAGTACAAATACTGAAATTATAATAGATCAAATTAAAAAACTTAATATAAAACAGTAATACTGGGAAGTAAAAATAAATTATTTTACAGAAATAAAAATAAAAGTGAAAAAAGAAAAGGTCAATGAAAATGTATTAGTAAAATTAACAGAAACTGAACAAATAGAGTTAGAAAACCTTATATCATTGCCTATTTTCTTTTTCTTCTCCTCTTTCTTTTTCTCTTCAATCTCAATAGAACATAGTAATTGGTCACCTAAATACAGAACATGTACAGGAAACAAGTTCTTCAAAGGCAATTTTCTCACCTATATACTATCTGGAGAAACAAAAAAGAAAAAATCAAATATGTTTAATAGATTCTAGAAGAAAATAAACATATAAGAACAATCAAAGAAGTTTTTAAAAAAGAAAATAATTAGATTGAAGTTGACTTTGATTGTAAATACAATAAAGATAAAACAATTAAAAAAATTAGTAAAAAAAAAAAAGAATGACTTAAGCTTATCCCAAAGGAGACAAGAAATAAAAGTAAAGAAAAAGACCAAGTTAAACAGTCAAACTTTAAAGGAAAGCAAACTAAACATAAAGTTGATGAAAAAAAAGATAATGATGAAAATCTCTTTGTTAAAAAAAAATTAGAAAAAACTTACACCAACTATCTAACTATCTGAAACCTACCAGCAAATATAAATAGAACAGAATTAGATTTTATTTGCAGAAAAATTAGAAAGATTCACATAGTTAAAATCAAAAGATTAAAATACAAAACATTAGCAGTAATCAAAACAAATAAATATGAAGATAAAGACATATTTTGGTTATTACCAATAGATGATAATAAACTAGTAAGAGTAATAAAAGGTAATAAAGATTATAAAAAAAAATCATCAGAGCCAATTTATAACAAAGTTAACAGAACTTTCTAGAAATATATCAGAAGTACTCTTGCTGTAATGTCTAAAAAGTAAGAGTGCAAAGTCTGTTTATATTTCATTAAACAGAAATAGAAATCAAAGAAGAACAGCAATAATCATCTTTGCAACAAAAGAAAAAATAAATTTAGCCCAAACTAAACCAATCAGATACAACAACTTTTAAGGTAATAAAAGAAAAAACAAAAACAAAAAAAAGTGAAGTTTAAAATACAGAAAAAAAAAAGATATAAATAGAACTGATCAAGACACCAATTTAGAAGATTATAAAAGTGTAGATTCTTAGAAAAACAAGAAATATAAAAACAGAAGAAAAAACAGAAAAAATGTAAATACAAAAAATCAAACACAAATACAAGACCTCTTACAATGCATACTAATTAGACTTGAAAGACTTGAAATACAAAAAGTGCAATCCAAAACCTTTACCAAAAGAGGATAGCCACAATGCTTCTAATTTTCATTACAGTTGAACTAAAGAACAAGGGTATAAAAACAGAAGTCTTTTTAATAAGAAAAAAAAAAATAAACTACAAATCTAAAAAATATACTACATCTAGAAGAAATTAAAGAAAAGACTAAAGAAAAAAATAAAAATATAGAAGGAACCAACTTAAATATAACAGTGCATAACATCAATGGCCTTAAGAGAAATAATCAAAAAATGAAATCACTATATAAATGACTAATTAACAATAAAATAGATATAATTAACTTATCAAAAACAAACATTTCAAATAAAAAAGGTTTTTTTATTACAAGAAATATAAAAGAATACAAGAGTTTTTAGACAAATTCAAATCTAAAAAAGAAAAAAGGCTCTGGTATTGGCATACTTATTAATAAATATTGGAAAAAACATATTAGAAAAATAGAAATGGAGTCCTGTAGCCTAGTGGTCTAGGCATCCTTCCCTCTACAGACAAGGTCAACAGTTCAATTTCAGCTAAAGGCAACTCTGTAATCTATGAAAGCATATGAATATACATGAGGCCCTGTAGCTAAGTCCATATGATTAGAAGATTAGTATATAAGGAAGTTCCTGAAAAAAAGGTTCCTAATATGAAGAGTTGGTGCTCAATATAAGAGAAGCAGTAAACATACCAGAAATAAAGAGAAGCCACACTAGCAGGTGATATAGTAAACATAAAAGGAAACTATGAAAAAAGAATAGATTTACTGAAATTTGAACACTTCTGACACCAAACTGGTTCTAGTAAATACAGGATATACTAAAATTGAATAAATCTAAGGGATAATCTTAGTACTATACTTAGTAAGTTTGCATTGAGAGTAAATTTGAAGGACTATGGATACTTAGTAACATCCAATAAGGTGGTACTTAGATATAAATAGTAATTAGATAGCTCTAACCTGTTCTATCACAATCATAGTAATATATATTGTATATATATGCAGTTAAGTGTTGAAAATCGGAAAGTTTAAATAGAAGACTCACAAGCAGGTCTCAGATATAACATCTAGTAGGTAACCTATGAGCTAGTGATTCAAATTGTTAGTTGAAAAATCAACTAGTTGACAACTTTTCAACTAATCGATTTAAAAATTTTGAAAATAACTAATTGTATAACTATCAAGTAAATCAACTACAACTAATTGTAGTTGTCAACTAGTTGACAACCAACTATTATCTATGTTAATTAACTAAACAACTTATTATAACTAGTATTGAAATCATATTACTTGTTACATTAATCAATAAAGCAAACCTATAAAAAAAATATTATTGACATATCTTGTAAATATAATTAAACGATTTGTATATTAAGAAATATGTAACACATATAAATACTATATAAAATATATGATGTCAGCAGTATTTTTCTATGGATGATGTTTAATTGGTGATTATTAAAACACATTAGTTAAATTAAAAAGGTAATTACTATGTACATAAGCGATTTGTATATTAAGAAATGTGTAACACATGTCAGTGGTATTTTTCCTATGAGCAACATTTAATTGGTAATTATTAGAACATATCAATTAAATCAAGAAGTTAATTACTATGTAATGGTAAGCGATTTGTATATTAAGAAATGTGTAATACATATAAATACTATATAAAATATATGATGTCAGTGGTATTTTTCATATGGGCATTTGAACATATTAGTTAAATCGAGGAGTTAATACATGCAGAGTTTATTTACACCACACATAATTTTGCAAAGTTTGTGTTACTTTAGCAATAGTATAAAGAATAAGTAAAAAAAAATTCAATCGAAAATGATAAATTTTTTTTCTTATTAACTTTGTAACAAATATCTATATTAAAAAGAAAGCTGCATATACCAACCAGGCTACTGGGTTCACCGGATGGGCCATCTGGATTTGTAGTTTAAGAAGTCTTGTGAGTCTTGTAGATTCAGAAGTAAAGATGTGGAAGTTAGAAAAGAAAGGTATCAGGATCTCTGTGAACTTTACAAGGGTATAGTGGTTTAATGGTTAGCCCTGACTGCAAGTAATGGTCTAGGCCAGAGTGGTACTAGGTCAGCTGTAAGTATGGGATATGAAAGGCTCCGATGGGCTTAGTATAAAGTTAAACATGACTTAGTGACCATGGTATATTTGCAGCAATGGCTGCAGTTAATAGAGTAAGGGTGGATACGAGAACTAGAGTGTTTAAATAGAGAACCCACAGGCAGGTTCTAGGTATGGCAACTAGTATAGACCTTCGAGTGAACTACTTAAAATAGACAATGACTAAAGTTATATAAGTGGCTAGTTGTACACTCTTTCTATGATTGTCTCTGTAGCTGTTGTATACAATAGTTATATGCTGACTGATTATCAATAAACTCCTAGATCACAATTACTTGCCTTAACATTAAAAAAAAAAAAAAAAGAGAGCTGGTTATAAAGATGTTATTAGTAAAGAAAAGATGCCAGTAATGTGAACAAAAGCATGCATTATATCATCTACCTTTTCATTCCTATAGTGTTAAATAACGTATTAAATCAGGTAAATATACAAGATTAAAAGAATTATATGAATTAGTAAATCTCATAAATACCAAAATAATTAATGACAATAATCAAATTGTTTATGTTAGCAAAATCAAACACTCTATTTAAAGTGAAATAATGAAAAAATTTAATGAAACAATGAAAAAAATTTTAAGTCTGGGTTTTATCTTGTATAGAACTTGTTTTTTTTTACTGCTGTATTATAATTTTATAATATGTAAGTACAGTATCTTTAATGCCAATATTTAATGTTCAATAGTATAAAAGGATGATAAATTAAAAAAAAAAAAAATCCAATGCCATTTTTTGATATGCTTCATAAGAATTGTAATGGATAGTTTGGAAGAATTTAATTCTTTATCTGAAAATGAAGATAATAATAGCAACATTGAATTATTAGCTTCTACATCTACTCAGACTTCATCTACTTGCAATTTAAATGTTATTAAAAAAAAAAAAAAAAACCAGAAAGTTTTATTTGGAAATTTTTTAAAAAATATATAGATTATCAAGATGAACAAACCAAAAAAGCTCAACATTTAATTGAAGGATATGAAACAACATATGTGTAAAAAGGATCTACTATCAATTTAATAAGCCATCTTCATGATATACATCAAATTACTAAAGAATCATTTAAAGATAAATCATTAAAAATTAATCAACAAATGATTCAGTAAGTAATTTCAAGATTCCACTCTTCCTATATGCAAAAAAAACTTACACATAAACTTGTATGTTATATAATCTCATATGCCGAACCCATTCATATAGTTGAAGATAATAATTTTAGACTTTGGGCAAAAAGTCTTGATCCTCAGTTTGAAATACCATGTGTTAATACAATTAAAACTATTATATTTAACTTCTATAATTCTACAATAAACCAAATTATAGATCTTATTTCAAAAACATCAGATACAGTTTCTTTAACCTTTGATATTTGGATATCACGAGCACATGATAGCTATCTTGAAATCACTTGCCACTAGCTTACAGATTCATTTGAATTGTACAAGGTCATATTTAATATAGGAGAGTTGGACGAACATAATGCATCTGATATTATTGAGTCAGTTAATTCAGTTTTTAATAAATTTAATATTAATCATTCAAAGATCTTTACTATTACTACAGATAACAGTTCAAATATCAAATCTGCAGTGCAAGAATTAAATATTACTAACGTAAAATGCGTTGGACATATACTTCAATTAAGTGTTAATTTGGGTTTAAAGGAAGTTGATGATCTTATTTCAAAATGTAAATCGCTTATTGCAATTTTGTCAAAAAAAAAAATGTAAACAGCTTCATGAAGCTTAATTACAAATTACTCTAGGGTTAAAACAACCTTTAGATATTATTAAAGATGTGAATACATATTGGAATTCCATCTTTTATACTATTAAATGTCTTATGCATTTAAAACCTGCCATTATACAATTATACTCAACTCTTACTAATCATACTATTAAAGAAATTAGAAAAGGGGCAGAAACTATAGGTACTTTTATTCCTTCTACAGAAGAATTTGAATTATTAGAAGAACTAATAGAAATTCTTTTTCTTTTTGATGAAGTAACTCAATTCTTAAGTAGATCCAAATATCCAACCCTTGGGTTTATGACACCAATTTTGGAAGAACTTGCTCATTAGCTCAGATACTTTACAGAAAAAAGTAATAAGGCTATCCTTGTTAAAGAAATGATATTAGACAATTTAATTAAACATTGGGGAGATCCAAGTGAAGTGGGCATGTGCTGTTCCTTTCTTGACCCAAGATTTAAAAAACTAAATTTCTGCACAAGTGCTTTATGCCATTCAACTATCCAGAATATGCATCGTCAATTTAATGAACTTTGTCCAACACCAACCTCTGATAATGATATTAATGATGATTCGATTTTAGCATTTTCACATTCATGTAAAAAATCCAAAATGTCAACATTTTTTACATATTTATGAACAGAAAACTCTAATGTTGAATCCAATAAATTTGACCAGTATTGTCAACTGCCTGAAATTTCTCTTGATAAAGGGTCTTGCCCTCTAGAATGGTGGCATAAACACAAAACCCTCTTTCCTACTATGACAATTTTGGTAAGGTAATACCTTGTGGTGCCAGCTTCCTTTGTACCATCAAAGTGTTTATTTTCTGATGCCAAAAACCATGTAATGAATAAGCATAATAGACTTAGTCCAGACTTATTGAATCAATTGGTATTTCTTAAAAAAAATATGAATTGTATTGACA